TGCTAACCTGGCCCACAAAAGTTCATCCAAACACCCTAGGTGGTCCTCCAGCCCAAATAATTGCCCATCCCTGTTCCAGATACGTGGCAGAATAACTTAATTGATTTCAATGGATTTTAGTCTTAAAGTAGAATGACAAGGCATTGAATCAAGCCAGCTAGTTTCTACATAGGCCAAGGTCAACAGAATTGTTTTCACTAGCTGCTGCTGTGTTAGTAATCAGATTCTACTTACTCCCATTGTTTAAAACATAATTGTTTAAAAACCAAACAAACATTCCTTAACTTGCACATCCTGCAGAAGAATCAAAAAGTAAAGCTGACTGCCTGATCTTCCTTCTCCAATGGGAGACCTGAAGAAACCAAGCAGTACTGAGATGGAAAGGATGGTGCAATGGTGAGAGCATGAGGCTAGGATTTGTGAGATCTGTGTTTAAGTCCCTGCTCTGCCACTGGTCTCTGGTGTGACCTTAAGATTTGGTCTCTCTGTGCTTCCATTCTCACCTTTAAGATGAAGCTAATCACACAAGCCTGCTCCCAGAAGTGTGAAACTACATACGCTACAGACTGTGAGATGCTCAGAGGCAAGAAAAACAAGGGCTAGATAAGCACCTAAAATAGATCAAGTTCTATTCAGTAGGTGCATCTACACAAGATGCTGACTGCACAGTAGTGTGCTGGGCAAAACCCATGCTAAGACATTACTGTGTAGTAGTATTAGGCTACTGTGCAGTTAGTGTCTGTAAAAACCTGTTAATCGGTGCTACTGCGCAGTAGCACCAGTTACTGTGCATTGATTTAAGACATGGTTATCTAAGCACTAAACTTAAAACTTAATGTGCAGAAACTACGGTGCATTAATGAACATGTAGATGCACCCAGTAAGTCAGGTTCTATAAGCTCATTCAGTTTTACTCCTTTCAGAGGGTAAGCCCAGATAAAGACTTCTTTTGGGTTTAGAGCACAATTTCACCCCTTAGCATTCCTTCCAAAGGGATTCTTTGGGTGCATCCAGAGCCTTTAAATGTGGCAATTTCCCAAGGAGAGCGAATTCAGTTTATAAAGAACATACCTGAATCAAGACAGGCACAATACTGCACTACCAGGGCCTGAGAACTCCAACCAATCTGCTTCACCCCCTTGCTTCAGACTCTAGTGCTGTGTCGTGAGTTCACCGAGATATACATGGCCTGTATTATTGCTGGTATCAGGATCAGATTGGAGGATCTTGGATAGTCAGTGGTGTACTGTATTTGGCTTTTGGGTACTTCGCTTAACTGTACCCTACTGGTTTTGTGCCTCCAGTGGAGCTTACCTGTGTAACTTAAATACCTAAGAGTGAAATGGTTAGATGCAAAACATACACCAAATGTTCAAAGTCTGGCTCTGAAGCCTTTACTGTAGATAATCTGGGGACAAAATGGCCTCAAAGTCCAGTCTTGGCTGTTATCTTTTTAGGTGCTCCTCTATGATGCATTAAGTCTAAAGAGGATAGACAGAGCTTAGGCAGTTTCAGCTCCTTTCAGAGCACTTCATTTTTCACTGCAGCATCTGCTTCAGCCCACCTCTCTCTACTTTCAAGAAAGGAATGAATGCATTGCAGAGCAGTTTGCTGATGCCTCTTCGGGGTTTTCTACCATTTAGTCTCATGCTTTGCTGAATTTTAACTGCAAACACCCTAAGCCCCCTAGCGGACAGTTTATATATCGAGTCTGCCTTTAAGCATGCAAGTCACCGGTCTCCCCAGTCCCTGTGACCTGAAATAGGCAATCATGATAGCAACACCCCTCCAGATTGCCACATGGTGAGTCAATGCTGATCTGATTCTTTGCAGGCAGAGGAATGGATCCATGTCAACGAGACTGAGTGTTACTGTCCAGGCACTGACCAGTGGACCACACTAACTCTGTCACGTTTTGACTGCTGCCAGTTCAGCATCACTGTACACCAATCTAGACTCTACATCACAGGGGGAGGATCGTTGCGACACATGAGTAAAGAGGATGGCATTTTTGTGTATGATCCTGAGGGAAGGATCTGGAAGAAAGCTGGCTCTCTGCCTAACCCTTTGGTTGACCATGCTTCCTGCATGATTACACTGTCACATAAGACTATAGCCGACCAGCAGGAGAGAGGAGAAGAGTGCTCACCCAGCTGCAGGAGGAAAAAGTCCACTCTCAATTTGTTCATCACTAACAAACAAGAGCCACAATCAGTGTCTTAATGGGAGCGGGAAGTGGATGCGCAAGGTAGCTGCTCCATGGAAACCCACTCAGTATTGTAACAGTTCTGCTCTGTTCTCTGGCCAAATACCATAACCTGGAATTTAGGAGCAATGCCTTCTTGGATTAACCTTAATATGTCCCTGTGCGCTGCTAGAGTGGCAGGGAGAGCAGAACAAGCAGGGAAGGGAATCAGTCCCCCACTACCAGTGCACTGGCCTGAACCCCGGGCTTCTTTTAAAAATAAAAAAAACTACTGACACATCTAAACCTGATTCTTTTCTAAAACAGTAGATCGTTTTAACAAAAAGGGAGCCAAGATTATTTTATAAACACTCCGAGTGCTTTTTTTATTTGGGATTGTAAAAGAACAAAGTAAATTTTGCAAGCATCTCATGAATCATTTTAGGCAGATAAGATGAACACCCCCCTCCCCCCACTGATGAGACCATTACTAACACAAAGTTCCATAGATTATGGCCAAAATGGATTCTTATGATCATCTAGCCTGAATGCAAGTTTAAGGATAGAGCAGCACAATTTTGGTGTGCCCGGGATCAAGGTCTTCAGCTGGAACGTGCCATTGATAAGCCCAGCATTCTAATGGGAACTCTGGGTTCTCATTAGCTGTTCAGACTTAAACTCATGAAATAATATGGGATCAAATGCCTTCAAAAGGGTTTTGAATTTAAAAAAAATTAAAGTGATGAAGCTAACTCACCAACAAGGGCAGCCAGACCTCTAATAGGGTCCTGAAGTGCGAGGATCTGGTCACAGCCAACCTGAATAAAAACACACATGCACACACTGGTCAACTTCCAGGCAGGGGTTTTAAATGACAAGTGATGAGAAGTTAAGTTGAGAAACTCAGTGATGATGGAAGCTTCTAAGAAAAGTTAATCAAGAAAAGGCCACTACTTAAACATATTTATTTATGTTTGGCTGCTTTGCAAAGGATTAATGAAGAGTTTCCATCTCTAGTTAAAAAGAATGTTGGAGGGACTGACCAGAAAAGAAGAAGTTCACCTGGAGCAACTGAGGTAAGAGACCACATCCTGTCTAGGATCAACAGATGCTTTACTAAGGACATCAATTTACATCAACCTCCATTTTACAAATAGAGAGACTGAGGCCCAGGAAGTCGTGACCTACCCAGTGTCTCAGAAAATCAGTGGTGGAGACAGGCACAGAACCCTGGGCTCCTGAACCTCAGGCTAGTGCACTATTTTCTGCCCCGTAAATTGTACAAACTTTACTCCACCTAGCTGAGATTCATATCTATATTCCCTTGCTAAGGAGACCAGTACCTTATCCATTAGACCCCTGGGACTAACATGGGGGAAAATAATCAAAGGCCCTTATAAGCCCATGTTTAGAGGAGTTTGGCCAACTGAGGTCTGAAGAGAAGAATCCATACTGCCAGCCTGGAATAGAAAGACTATTTAGGAGCAACTAGTGACTGAAGATCCAACCTGGGATACTGCCAGAAGGAACTGATCATGGCAAAACACTGAGCACTAGCCCTCTAGAAACAAGGCTTCTTTAAGGTCCTTTGGATTAGGCACCCAACAGCATTTGAAAGTTCAAGTCAGTAGCATGGAGTCTTAAATGGCACAGGTACTACATGAACAGCCAGTGCTTACCAGAAATCCACAACAAAGACACCTGAAGGGGAATTGTGACAAACCCTCTCTAGTTCAGAAAGAAAAATTCCAGTCTGCAGTTAACACGGTGCATTACTGCAGTTTCACATATTGTACTGGTCACAGTTGCAGGAAAGAAATGCAGTAAAAAAACCCAAAAAAACCCACCAAAAAAACCAACCACCCAAAAAACAAAATTTGGTAATATCTTCTACCAACAACCACAGGTGATACAGTCTGAGTATGACTAGTTTAACCCAATGACTCTGTGACTTGAGTGAAAACAAAGTCTGGCTACCACCACCCATCCCAGAGCAATGGGTCTAAAGAAGGTTAAGTGGCAGAGTCAAAGAAAATCACCCAAAGCACCCAACTCTCATTTTCTCAACTGGTGCTCACCTTTACTGGGTTAGCAGGGAAGTGGCCCATGAAGTCTGTTTTGTACGGATAGTCCATCATTGCCATCACAGTGAAGGCATTTCTAGCAAACTCAAATAGCTGGTAGACATCATTCTTGTTCGAAACTTTCTTGCAAGTGGACATTTCACTGCTGATTTTATCATAGGCTGCAGAGGCAGAGAAAATGGATACGCATGCCTCACAAGAGTGCAAGCTGATCCGGTGGAGCAGAGCCATGTTTCATTCATGCCTCCATGCTTGGCTAGCCAGGAATAACATGAGGCTCTAAACATAAGACTTACATTTTCTAATGGGAAAGATATGTTATGTATTAACTTACTCAAACGTGGGTGTCCAGATGCAGTGTAACAACACTGCAAATGCAAACCCAATGCACAGGCTCCTATTTACCTGAGTTGTATAAAATTTCCAAAACAGAGAGAAAACAGCCTAAGAAGAACAAGAACCAAAGCACTGGCCTAGCAAGAGCCAAGTTATTTGCAAACATCTTCTCTGTACTCCTCTAGCCTCTCCCTAGCAGGTACTAGTAAGTCCCCTGCAAGGCTAATGAAGGTTGCTGATACCTTGCAGTTTTGGCTCCTTAATTTGCTCACAAAGTGCCTGTCACTCCCCTTAGCTCTGCAGAGCCAGGAGAGAGCATCTTACTACTGCATCAGTTAAGTTATCACTGCAGACTCCAGGACAGATGGAGATAGGAAAATCCGAGCTCGATTATCAGGGCCCAGTTTAATTAATCAAATAGCATTTAGGCGAGAAAACAGAGGTGGATTTACACTTGGGAGGGGGACCTGTTTGCTGTGAAAGTCACTGAGCTGGAATAAACCAGGACCCCACAATGTCACTGCACCATGGGCACTTTTCTGGCTGCAGATGCACCTTAAAGCCCACACATTGGAGTCAGATGACCCTAGCTGGAAGAGGACCCTTGGTGCAGGCTCCTCAGGGTGGCTGAGATCAGGGATGCAGAATATTGCACTACTCATCATGCCTTTTCTGATTAAGCAGCAATGGCTGCCTTTAAGGTTCTGGTACAGGCTGTCATTTGATTAGAGGCAAGGAGCTGGAATCCAAAACAAAAAGTCAAGGAGGGGCTAAGGCAGCGAGTGAGAAAAATAATGCTCAGTCAGTGTTCCACCAGGGGGTGGCATTAGACCATCAAACACAAGCTGACCTTATCACTACCAGCCCAAAAACAATACATGATGGCTAACTCCCTGTGCACCATGCCTTCATGGTATTAAAAAACCCACCTGAGGCCTTGTCTCTAGTAGGGACTTTCATTAGGCTAGTTTAAGGTGAGGTTTGAACTGGGTTAGTGAAACTGGTGCAACTCCTAAGTTGAAAGCTGAGTTCACACAGGGTTTTTTTCATTGGTTCAACTAAATTGGTTTAAGAGCTGATTGACGTTAGGCTGAGGCAACTTTCTCCAGCAGACAGGGCCTTGGAGAACACCTCCTGCCAGATCTCTGGAAGCACGAGGCTATGGGGGGCCAGACTTGTCTTACCTTCACTCAAGTACAGGTTGTTGATTTGCTGGAAAGCTTCACGCACAGCTTTGACACAATCCAGGCTGGACTTCCTGAAATCCTAAAGTGAGGCAAGAGAGAGAGAGATGAAAAGAGCCAAGCCAAGGTGACACATGCTCATATCCACATAAACACACAGGTATGAGCCATGGGGCCTATATCAGAGGAGAACAGTAATAGACAGCAGAAAACACCAAGGGGCACAAATAGGGCTTCCAGAAGATCCCTAACTACATCTGCACTGACTGAAGGCCTGACAGAGTTATCCCCGAGATTGTCCCTACCTCTGGTAGGTGGGATGTCCCAGTCCCTGTTCAAGAAAACAGAGGCAAAGTAACTGTTAAAAATATCAGCTTTCTTGTCTGGAGTAGCCACAAGATTACCATTTGCATCTTGCAGGGGCCCTACATTACCTGGTGCCCTCTTCTTGCTCCCAATGTACTTGAAAAAGGACTTTTTGTTGTCCTTAATCCTGGACGCTAGCCTCAGTTCCATCTCTACCTTGGCCTTCCTAATAGCCCTCCTACTCACAGGCCGAGGAGGATACTCCTCCTTGGTGATAGCTCCTCCCTTCCACTGGGTGTACGCCCCTCTTTTAATCCTCAGGCATTGCTGAATGCCCTTGCTGAGCAAAGGGGGTTTCTGAGCACTCTTACCCACCTTGCTTCTCTCAGGGACTGTTATCCTTTGGGTCTGGAGGATTGCTCCCTTAAGGTACAAACATCCCTCGTGGACTCCCATCTCCTCTACCTTCTGGGCCCTCAGTGCCTCCCTCGCTAGTCTCCTAAGATCATTGAAGTTGGCCCTTCTGAAGTCAAGGGCTGTAGCTTTGGTGTAAGCCCTTGACACCCTGCATTGGATAGTGAAATCCAGCAGGTGATGATCGCTATTGCCCAGGTAGTCAAGGACCTGCAGTCCCCTCACCAGATCATCCCCCGTGGCCAGGACCAGGTCCAGCAAGGCGTTACCCCTAGTGGGGCTATGCACTTCCTGGATAAGGTGAAGGTCCTGTAATACAGCCAGGAACCATTGTTAATAACAAACTCAGGAGAGACAGCAAAAAAGCTGTGCCCAACTTTCAGGAAGGATTTAATGTTATGTGGGAGAATTCTCAGGGCTGAATTAACAGGAAGTTAATTCAAGACTACGGGGCAGCCATGCTATACTGGGTGCACCTAAGCAGTTCTGGGCCTGGCTCATTTTGGTATAGGGGACTCCATGGAATCATAGGTGCTGTAGTTACAAGCTAAAGAATCATGGTTGAACATGGTGGCCCAAATCCAACTCCCCTTGTAGAGGAGTAAGTAGCACTCTGTGGATGTACTGAGGACTTCAGCTTCCAAAGCCAGCAGCCTGGGACCTTTCAGCAGCAAAGCACTGACACAATTATCAGCAGGCAGGTCACACCAGCCCTAAACTGCAGTCCTGAGAGACACTACTATGTGACAATTTGAAGTCTCTGGCATTAACTGTGACTTCCAGAGTCTCTTATCACTCTCTAAATAGACACAAGAGTCCTCCTCTGTTTCCACTGGGTCTTTCCTTCACCTAACATGAGCCTAGATGACATATTGGCCTACAGTGGCTAGGGGATGCCAATTTCTGTAGTCACTACATACAAAAGAGCAATGTTACTAGCATCACGTCCAGATGCCTTCAACTCCCCAGCCCAAATGGCCAGGTACCCATTTACAGTGCAGTCAAGTAGGGACCGCCTTTGATGCAAGTCTAAAGAGAGGCTCACACTCATGACTTCAGATCAGTAGCAAGACACCTTAACTAGCCTGCCCGCTTAGAAACAAAATTGTCCATTATGCACCACTTTCACTTACTGCAGTGACGTCTTTAAAGAACTGGGTGGGGTCTCCAAGCCCAGCCACAGCCAACAAAGGTGCGCTGGCTGCTAATGCTCCAGCCACAACATTGGGATATTTCATTCTCATGTAAGCGCTCAACATGCCTCCATAACTGGGGAAAAAAGAGAGAGAAGATTACTTCACTCGATGGACATGACACAATGCTAGCCTGTTCAATAACATAGGCCTGAAGGAGCCAGTGGTGGTGAGCTCATCCAACCCAGGGCAAGTGAAAATCTAAATGAGTCTCCTCTCCCACGCAAACTCTTGTCCTTCCTTTGTACAGAGTATTAACACAAATATAAACCAGTTAGTGGAGACAAGCAGCTGGTCTCTGCATAAAGCCACTTGGATAGATGGGCTGCTAAAAATCACACACACACACAAGCAAGCAAAACCAGCCAGTTATGTCTGTAGTGCATCCAACAATATCTCCCTGCTGACCTTTCCCCAGACCTTCAGGGCAGCTCTAGGCATAATGATGGGAATATAGTGGACTATAATCACTGGGATTTGATTACAGAGGCAAATCATGGCCAAAAACATTATGGTCAGTTCTGCACAAACTCAAGGACCTTCTGATAACTTTAATGCAAAGCACAAGTGGAGGTCAAGCCAAAACTGCATTGTATAGGGTTGGGGAAGGAATTGCAGGAAGGGTTTTTAAAAAGATTATCAAGAGAGGTTCTCAGCAACAGATGTCCAGGAGCATTTAGGAATGGGTGGCCTCTCTAGTGCTGGGAATCAGGAAATGACCTCCCAATGAACCTCCCAATGAGCAAGGAAGATAATTAGTAGCAAGGTGGCTAAGCTGATAGGGTGGCTTTTTTTTTTCCAAGTCCAGTGAATCAGTCTGTCTCCTTTGTTTCAGGCATCACTGCTTTGTGGATACAACAGAAACTGTCAGATAAGTCTGAGGCCAAGCAAGTTATTCAGTCAGTTATTCTGGGTGCATATATTCAGAAGCTTACCTTGGCCAAATCAGGGTATGCTTTAGAGGGGTGGAAAACAAAGACAAAGGATCATCTCTGCCCAATGTCACCTCCTGCTCCAAAGCTATAAAAGTTTCTCTGTCCCTCCCCAACATAGGCAAAACAATGTCATTTTCTCTTAATCAGAGGAGAGCTATATTTGCTGAAATTAAATCAGCCTGCGGAAGGTATTTGGCACGGCAAATTTCAGTGGTAAGCAACTAGAAATGGGGAGGCATTGGGCAACTTTAATTATAACCATACGCCCATCTGCCATATTGCAACAGCTTTCATCTGAAGTTAATGCAGGGCTGAAATCCCTGGAAACAGGGATTCATTTTACCCACAAAAAAGCAGCAGCACAAGTTTCCCCCATATAGCCTAGACACTGTCTTTCCAGACCCCTTCACAGCTGACTGGGACATTCAGACCCTATGATAAGTTCAGATCCTGGCTTCTCCCCTGAGCCTGTCAACTGCTGTTGTGTTCCCTGTACTGCCAACACAACTGAGATCAATGGATCCTTTTGCATGTGTTACTGAAAGGAGAGACAGTGGTAAACGCTTTCCAGTAACCACGGGCATGGTCTGGATGGGAATTAGATGCTTACTAATCTAAAGCACTTTCAGCCTGTTACCACTGTCCTGTCTTCCTAGTAGGTAATGTTTTGTTTTGGTGTCAGTGTAACAGGGACCCCAACCTCTGTTACTGAGTGGGGCCAGGGAGCTAATTAAGTAATGGCTGCAGGAAAGGGCAGAATGCAGCCTGCAGAGAGGTTTGCATGGCAGATTGCTTGATTAAGCCTGCAGGACAGAGAATTAGTGTCACTTGGGCCCTGTTGAGAGAGAAGGGGTCAGGTGACCAGAAGTAAGAGGAGGAATTATGTGCTATATAAGCCTGGCTCCAAGGCTAGTAGTGTTATCCTCTCAGGGCAGAGACAGAGATGGGAGTTTTCTTGCTAGGAGTGGATAAAAGCAGTGCTAGAGACTAGCCTAGGCTATCTTTGCTGAAGAAACTCCCTATACTGTGTGGAGAAGCAATATTGGAGATTAAGAGGCTTGTGAGTAGGTCCAAGAGGGCCCAAACTGGGAGAAGCCAGTGTGACTGAGTATGAGCTAGGGGAGAGGACAGCAGAAAGACCCTCTAAATACAACTGACTTAGGATTGGGCTTGTGTTGTTTCAGACCTGTGAAGCATGTCTGTGGCTATGGGGGAGACTGGAGACTATGATTAATGCCTCTAAGGTGATTAGAACCATAACTAATGCACAAAGGGCAAGCCTAGTGTGATTGATCATGAGTAATGCTAACACAGTAGAATAGCTTGTTAGCAGACTGAGGGTCTGATGACAAGGAGGACCAAGGGTTTGGCTAAATAACTGAAGCTGGACTACAGGCAGCACAACCACAACTTCTCCAAGCCTCCAGGCAGCCTCCCAATGCACTATAACAGTGGCATCAAGGTGTTGCAGGTGTGATAGCAAAGGGGTACACTGAGGAGCTGGAGTGGGAGCAGGACAGCCACCAGAGGGCACCATGGCTGCCCAGATTGGTCCTGCTACAATCCAATAAGGTCTCCCTCTATCACAAAGTGTAACTCCATGTCAAGCACAAAGCTTGAAATAACTTATAGCTCAGCAATTAAAACTGCCTGGAGATTTTCCAATTCCTTGTGCCTCTTTTTAAATTAAGCAGGAGCCAGGATTGACTTGGGCAAATCTGCTTTTGGAATGGCAGGCCCCAATAACTGTGAGTACCCTCTTCTCTGCCTTAAGGCAGATGCATTTTGTCTGATTATTTATTGATTTATTTTTTTATATATATATATA